CGGACATGGTCTTCGCTTCCCGGTGCGCGATCGTGACTTGGTTCATCTGCTCTTCGGTGTATACTGACAGGTATTAGCTAGCTGTCAAGGCGTTGTATACTTGGAGGTACGTACCTGGATGAGGCCATGCCGCGTGCGTCTTGCGGACCTTTTCTGTCGGGTGCTTCTCGAAGAACTCTACAATCTTGGCTCCACCGTTGGGCGAAGAGGTGAAGTGCCTCTGGCCAACTGGTGATTGGAAGTGCTGTACCGCGACGAATGTGGGCCGGATTCCAGCATTGTAGCTCTGGAAGGACTTGATGAGCTGAGCTGTAGCTCGCTTCGAGGTTGTTGATCCCCGTGTTGCTGCTCTGGTGGAGATCATCTGCGGTTTAGGGTATACTTGTATATGTTGAGTAGGCGTATGTAGGGTAAGGGGTGATGTCAACTGCAATGGTAAGTGCTGATGGTTAGCTAGAAGCACGACTGAGGCAAACGTTGGTCCTTTATATCTGACACCTAGAAAAAACTATCAAGCAGTACTCGTGCCTGCCTGGCGCGTTCAGTCATCATTAGGGTGAAGCAGGAATGGGCATGGGATGCCGCCGCTACACCGCGCCATACCCGTCCTGCGGCGACTCGGCGAGCGAATGGGCTTCGTTCCAAAGGTCGGAAGCGTCAGCAATCGTAAATTACGAGCGCAAACGGTCGCGTGCAAAGACGAGTTTGAGGTGGCTGAGAGGAGTGGTGATTCAGCTGACGGAAGGAACCGGGATCGCCCTGCCAAGACATTTGCCATGCCCCTGTCCAACAGCTCAAAGGGGGACTTTGGCGACGAAGAAAAACATACGAAAGTATAAACGACTTATTGGAAGTATTTTTGATGGGTCTTTGGACCGTGTACAGTGAACGGACGATGTTGTTGCGTTGGATGCGTGGTCGCTGCTTCCGGAAGAAGCTCGTCGGGGGCTCGCTGACTGAGATCGGGGTCTCGTTGCTTGCCGTAGACCCGCTGATAGGGCTGACGCCACGGCGCAACATCGAATTATCGCTGTACCATGATAGTAATCTTTTGTCTGTGGCTTTGATGACCTGGTACATGGTTTCATGGTTAGCATTGAGCGGTAGAATCCTTTGTGGTTGCTACCTCAAGACGCGGTGCTATGCCTAGGTGGTGTTGGCAGCTTCAGCATATCGATCTTCGAATCAGATCAATCACACCTGTGGACGTGCGAGCTGTCTAGACTTCATCGACACACTAGCGACGGGGTCTTGCTTCACCTAAAGAGAAAACTTTCAGCATCTTGCCGATGACCGATTGAGAAAGGGCGAAGACTGCCGTCAAGTCGGCAAGAACGTGCGCACGGCAAGTCACGAGCAGGATGCTTTTTGAGCAAATATATTATCGGTGCGCGATGTATGTTGCTGCAACATAGCTCAATGATAATTGAGTAGCCTGCGTGCTCGAGAGAAAGCCTGTGGCTGAAAACGCCCGATATCGCACTTAAATTGATGCATGCTATTACACTACTCTTTTCATGCCATTGATGGGCTACGGTAGCGCAGGACATACATGATTGGCAGATGTTGGTTCAAGTCAATGCCGGCAGGTGTGTTGAGTCTTCCAAGGTTGTGTTTGGGGAGCCGAGTACCAACTACTGGACGTTGAAACCGCTCTCACCGTCTTTGGTCGAGATGTCCGAATGGTCAACCTTTGAGACTGATGCAGCCGACGGTCCCTTGTTCAGGTGTTGAACGAACTCTTTGATCTTATCCTCGCTGCCCTGAGCCTCGCCTTGGACCTGCCTGGTATGAGTGGTGGTCAACGCAAGTATGAGTCAAATACGCACACTCCCATCGGATGCATTGGTCACGAAGCCCGTTACACCGAGACTCTTTGCTTGTTTTTGCGTGAAGGATCGGAAGTTGACGCCCTGCACCTCGCCCTCGACTTTGTACTGGATCTGAGTGGCTACATCAGCTTTGCCACTAGTGACGTGGGCAGACAACGCACTCGCTTGCTTGACATTTTGGCTGTAGTTGCAAAGAAGCGTCTCATGTGAGTGGGGTTGTTGCGAGAGGGGTGTCTGTTAGATCAAATTCATGCAATTTCTGCTTGTAATATAGGGCTGTATGCTCCTGCAGGCGTGCGACGTCATCGTTATTGCGAAAGGTACACGCTACTTCGGGAAGGAACCCTTGAGCTCTCACCTGGATTGCGGGGCCAGAAGCAACCTTAGGCGGGCGGGAGGCATCTGGCGCCGCAAAGGAGAATTTGCTTTTGACACCTGTTCAGATCAGAGGATAATCGCAATGACATGCGTTCACGGCTATACGGAGATTGCATCGGTGAGGACGCTCAGGGCGATGTGGTGCCGCTAGTCACGCGTTGTTTTCGGATACAATCTCGCGTCGCTCCCCGTTACTGAAACCTCTAATCAAACGCCCCCTATCGCAACCCCGACTCACATAGCAACAACCGCACATTGCCCAGGAGGCTCCGCAAACAAGAGCAGTGCTAGATAACCCGCCACCGCTCCGTAAATGCCTAGGATTCGAAAACACCGAATCTCTCTGCTGATAAGGAGTCTCACGACTGCAACGGCCCTGCACCTGCCACCCCTGTCAACCACCATGGACACGCCCAACTCCCCACCCGCACGTTCAACCTCGCCCGACCCTTGGGCAACCCCATCGCTGGCCATCGGCGCAATTCCCCCGCTCGACCGCTCTGTCTCAACCGCGTCGTCTGTCTCGTCGGCGCGCTCAGTGAGCTCGCGCCTCTCCGATGGCGGCAGGCGACGTGGTTACATGCGCCCCGAGGGCACCGAATTCTCCAAATCGGCGAAGAACAGAGAGAGTGTCATGAACCTGGGCACCATCGCACATCTCCAGTACTACTTCGCGCGGACGGGCCTGCTCGACACCGCGACGGGACGCGTGGCCAAAGGCCGCAAGCCCGGATCGCGAACAGCGAGCGGCAACGAACCAATGTCGCCCGGCCTCGATGCCGACTTCTCGACCATGTCGCTGGCGTCACCAGACGGGATGAATGACCCAGTGGGCTTCGTTGAGTCACCCCTTGACGAGACGGCGTCCATGCAGTGGGAGGACCCCGAGCCCATGATGCTCCCGCCTACCGTCAGCACCTACAAGAACAACCCCGTCTACGTCCCGCCGCCGCCTGATATGACTGTCCTGCGTCGCGAGCTACGCGAATCGCTGGCCGAGTCTATGAAGCATCTGCACGAACTCGAGAAGGGCTTCTCTGATGTTCAGCCGGACGGAAAGACCGCGAAGAACGGTGGCGAGGAAGCGTCAGGCTGGCACGAAGTACAAGGCATTAATCTCTTGGACGTCACCACCCTCGCGATCCGCGCCGCGAAGAACTACTACACCGCACACGAAGAACCACAACGACTCTACGCCATCAAGTCGGAACGGACGATCCGAAAGGAACTATACGATACACTCGAGGTACTGAAACGTCTCGCCATTCGCAACTTCGGAAACGGCGTGCAGCCGTATGAAGTCACCCAACTTAAGCAGTGGGTCGACGACATCGGCACACTGCTCGACACGGAAGAGGAGAAGGAGCGCTTGGAACTTGCAGAAAGAGAAAGCTGGTCGTGGCGCGAGGGTGACTGGACGGGCAAAGAACGCGAGAGGGAGCTGCTCTTCCTCAAGTCGTTTGACAGCAATCCAGAGCCCCTGCCTGATTGGACCAGTGCTGCCGACTCCGAACTCCCAACACCCTTCCTGGCCGCGCTACAGAACGGACTGCGCCTCGTACATCTCCACAACACTCTCGTCCGAAAGTCAAAACGACACTTCGAAGAGATCAAGACGTACCACACCGACACAGCCAAGCCGTATCGCTGCGCCGACAACCTGCGCTACTGGGTCAAAGCCGCCGAGCTGCGCTGGGACATCAAACTTGACGTTGATGTCATGGACGTGGTTCACGGCGAAGACGCAGAAGCGTGGAAGAAGTTCGATGCTGCCATCCTGCAATGGTGCCAGGGCGTGCGTGAGGAAATCACGTCGGAATGGCAAAAGCAGAAGAACCAAACGAGAACCCCTACACTACAGATCGACCCGAATTACGAGGCGCTGTGAAGTGGCCTTATGGCAAAGTATTCATGGATCTCACCCTTCTTTCATTTCTTGTCCATGTTTCCCACTTAACCCTTTATCTAATTTGCACGAAGCTCATGTCCACCCGAATCTCAACTCCACACCATAGAGAATTTCCTCAAAGAGTATTCCCTGGTTGGAAGCAGGGCTCTTTTACCATTCCGCTCAGAGCGTGCCGATAGGAGGCGGCTTGAGATAGATACCCCCTTTGCACCTGCGGCTTGCAGATCTATAGTGTTATATACAGTCAAGTCGGAATGTAAATAATGTGTACCAATGTATAATAGGTCCTCAATCGGAAAGCCCGTTCAATCCAACTCCGTCCAGCTCAAAGGACCGGGGATGGATCCACCACGATACGGGGTAGAGAGCACATGACCATGCATAGCACATAGTGAACGTGTATAACACAAACGATAAGATCGACGACCGAGGCGTCTAGAAAGGGTGGCACAGACCGAGGCGTTGCACCTTGAGTGCCAATGAGTGGAATGAGTGGGAATGAAAGCACTGATAGCAGGGGGGAGCTGGCTGCTGGCGGAAATTGGGGACAGCGGCGCCCGGTGAGACACAAGCGGGACGTTTTGTGAACGGGTGTCTCTAGACCTATGGAACGCCTCCTCCAAAGACACACAATGGATACACACCACTCGCGCAAGCACTGTAAACCTTTTCATTGTTGATGCGCCACACCGACATTGTTGTTAAACAGAAGCAACGCGTTAAGTACTAAGCTAACGCGATTTCGGCGCCAACCCAAAGAACGTCGATTCATCTCCCGATTGATCTTTTGATCCGTGCATAGCGATACCAGTCCTGCGCAGCCTCCTCTTTTGTCTGAACGCGACCTGGAGGCATCCTCGAGGTCCACACAGACATGCTCAATGAGCGACACGGCCGCGCCGCCTTCAGTTCTCGACAGCAGCCCCGCCGCGACTGCCGTTGACTTGCCAGCGAAGACACCGCCGAACCCACCACCGACGACCACGACGTCGTCATCCTCGCCCAAACCCCTTCGGCACACGCCCGCCCACATTGAGAGCACCACCAAACTCGCGAGAAATGTCTCCCCGGGCCTGCTGGCACGCATGAAATTCCTCAACCAGATTGCCGACACCAACAACAAGAGCGCCGTCGACGTCGGCCGCATCGAGGAGGACCGCCTGCGCCGCCTGGACGAGTTCCGCAAAGCCCGCAGCCTCGAAGTCGAGCGCCGCGGCACTGCGTGGTCCGGAAAGGTTGGTCAGGCTCCCGCCGCTGGAGAGACGCCGCTCGTGCCCCAGTCGACGGGCGAGAGCGTGCCCACGCTGGTGATGGAGCCCGACTTTGACAGCGACCACAGCAGCGTCGTCAGCACCAGCGATAAAGTTCTCCCATCTGAGTCAGAAGCCGAAATAGAGCTCGACCTGCAAAAGTACCGCCTGCCCGACGTCACCAAGTCGGAAAAAGCACTCAGCGGCACCATTACCGCTGCTGAACCCGAACCCGCGCCCGCACCCCCCGCCGAACCAGCACCCACAGTCGCGCCTGCCAAACCAGAACCTGTCGCGCCTGCCGACCCTGAGCCCACCGCACCTGCCGAGCCAGAGCCCATGGCCGCGCCTACTCCCCCACCCAAAGACACGCCACCCCTACCCGCCCCCGTACCCGAAGAGGAGCCATCCGTCCTCGACGACAACAATGGCATCGACATCGCGTCCTACTTCGAGAAGCGCCACTACCCCCGCGCCAACTCCATCTACACCCTCTCCAAGGCCAGCTTCACCAACCAGATCCAGCAGCTGACTTCGATGAAGCTGCCGCCCACAACCATCGCCTCCGAAATCACCGCCCTCCCGACCTCCACCCAGGCCGGACGCGCACTCCACAAGGCAGCCAACGACATCCGCCTATGGATATCCAAGACGAAAGAGGTCCTCAGCGGCCTCGACGCCGACGATGACGTAGAGTGGGCCGCAGCTGCCGGAAGAGAAGGCCTGGAGGAGGTGGATGCCGCCATCGGCAAGTTCGAAGGGCTCGTCAACGTCTACATTAGCGCAATAGAAGACCTGCAGTCGCGTTCCGACATTGCGCTCCTGCCCACAAAAGACCAGACGACGCTTGTCAGCCAGATGGAGGACATCGTCATGAACTGGGGCGAGATCAAGCAGACGCTCAAGAACATCAAGAACCAGGTCGAAGTCGCCATGGAGTGGGAAGAGCTGTGGAACAACGTGCTTGGCGAAATCGGCGCCGAGGTCAGAAACCTTAGTCGTCTGATATTTGAGATGGAGGAGCGCAGACACCGCGTCATCTCCGACTCAGTCGCCGAAGCTCCAGAGAAGTTTGACATTTCCGAGCTCGAGACCGTCGTTGAGGTCATCCCCCGGAAGCAGTCGATAATCAACAGCAAGCGGCTTAGTATGCCGCCCAGCCTGTCCATCGTCTCGCCCACCTCGCCCATCCCGCAAATCGAACAAGAAAACTCGCGACTGCTAGCGCTCTTCGCCAAGCTACAGCCACTGCGTGCTTCGCTCGACTTCCTTCCTATGCGACTCAGCGCCTTCCAGATGCGCGCGAGCACCATCTTTCCTTCCGCCTGTGACGAACTGGTACGGAGGAAGGAATCGCTGGAAGAAGAAGAGGCTAAGCTTGAAGCCGATGCAGATGCGCTCAGGCAAGAGTTGGGCGAAGACAAATGGGTGCACAGCTTCCGTCAAGCCCACAGCAAGGCTGCTGCCATGTACGACTCGTGCATGAAGAGCATTGAAAGACTGCAGCAGGCCATCGAGGACAGCGACGAGGAGAAACTGGCTACGCGCATCGCCACCTACAAAGACAAGCGAGATCACTACCCTCCATCTATGAGGCGTGTGCTGGAGCTCATCGATATCGAGATGAAGCACAGGTCCACAGTCAACGGTGAGATCCTGCGTATCCAAAAAGACGTCCGCGCAAAGGTGGAGGACTTGGAAGACGTGACTGGAAACACGGACATCATCTTGAACGACTTCACTACATCGCGAAAGCTTCGCGACTCGGTCTCCACCGTACTGACAGAGGGCTCCTTACCACAGTCAAGCCTTGACACACCTGGCACTTCCCCCGCTTCGAGTGTCGTCATGAGCCGTAAGAGTAGTGGACAGCGGCCTTCCATTACTCCGGTAAGCAAGAAGCCTCGTCAGTCCAGTGTCGCGAGCTTGAAGTCGTCGGCCCCTCCCAACCGGCGATACTCCAGCATACCACTGGGTGCTGAGAGTGTCGCTTCTCGCAAATCTACACTTGAGCGTTCCGCACGTTTGGACTTTACACCATCCCGCGCCATGGCTGGCACTGCAGCTAGTCAAGCACGCGCAAAGACGCCGACCGATAGGCCTGGGCCCAAGCCTCGTTGGAACTCGGACACGCACATGCGCGATACTGTCGTCGGGCACAACTTTAAGCCGTTGACTCTGACCACACCTTCGCCATTCCGGAAAGACGAATCACCCGACGGATCGCGACTGGGCTCAGCAAGCCGTTCGTCGATACCCCTCAGAAGCCCATTGAGCCGCTCCTCAGCTCTTTCGCCGACTGCATCCAGCCGTTCTCCATCAACTACTCCAGGGCAGCAGCGCTCTGCTCGATTGATGCCAAGCCCAATGAACTCATCTCCCGTTACTCCTGCCAAGGGCAAGCTGCCGATACGATCTACACCCCTGTCTTCCTCAAGTACAAGTACGCCAGCGTCTAGCCGTCGTGTCTCGACAGTAGTAGAAGGCGGTAAGAGCCCTGCCAAGGAAGAAAGTCCGGCGGCTCGTCGCGCGTCACGCCCTCCGAGTGCCGCAGCCAGTCGTCGCAGCAGTCTGTTACCTACACCTAGACAGCGCACCTCATCCACTTCCGAGGCCACTAAGTCAACTCCTCCTGCTAAGTCAACCCCTCCTGGACGCTCCAGCAGCAGGCTTGATAGCTTGGCCGAAAGTCGCACTTCAAGCCGTGTTAGCGGTCGCCAGTCAAGCGTAGGAGACAGACCAATTTGGAGATAGGCACTTGCAAATCGGACAATTCACCTCGACGGACCGGCGCAGACCTGAACGATACCTCTTGTTTCCAAACGAACGACAGCAACATCACGCAATCAACGTTAGCGAAACCTACTTATTCACCCCCAATTTTCAATTCGCGTCTGGATCCTGGCTTGGTCCTAACCCCCGTTCACTAATATCGACTTCTAGTACTACGCATTTGCATTCTTTCGAAGAAGAATCTCTCTCTTTCCCCGCGATGTATCATCGAAATATCCATCTCACCTCTGGACCATTATATCCACACTTTTGATTTGTTGCTTTTTTCCATCTGGCGTTCTAGCGGTTGGGAGAAAGTATCCTATACCCCGGAGTTTCACACATGTTTTTGGCCTTTCTTTGAAGAAGCATTTTCTGTTTCACATATGGCTGAGCGAGCGAGCGTATCTGGCGAATGGAGTGCGTGTGAGCGTTGGCATGGTTTTGTTCGTGCTAGGCGCTTGCAGCATTGTGGAGGGAGGGGTCTTGGGAGCATGTGCGGAAGTATGCTTTTGTAGAGAGGAGATAGATTGGTATTCATGGGTGGGCTGGGGGTGGATGGTGGAGGTCGGGGGCAGCAGACTAATTCTATGTACGAGCGAGTGTATGTTAGATAGTTGAGCGAGATATAGAATGATACCATAGTAAACTGACGTCTCTTCCAGTATTGACTGTACCGCCGATGTGACTCACTGGTCGAGCATCAAGCACAGTCTTCAGTGCGATTGTCTCCCGATATTCAAGACATGCTCACGTGATTGGATAGCATCAGTCGTCCTCGAACCAAAGACTTCACACCTGACCCATCACAAATACCAAGACAGCAACTCTGGAGTGTCTTACTGGTATCTTCCTTGGGGACATGATTTTGGCAAGACATTGTACTCACTCAGCCCATATAAATTCCTACAAAGTATCAACCCTGTTATTGCATAACCACCTACATCAATCTTCATACGAACACACAAGACCCAAAACCTTCACACCTAACCACATCCATTCCGATGACGCCCACGCACGAAGAGAAGTTTTTTCATAAGAACATGCAGAGTTGTTTAGCGGTAAACTGTCGGTTCTGCAAGTGGGAACGCGAACTCGATGTTGTTCCAGTAGAAGAAGTAGCCCCGCCTTCGCCATCGACGCTTGAGAAGATACGTTCGGGCCTGAGGGCGAGGGCAGCCGCGAGGAGAGCCAACGGAACAGAGCAGGAGCGGCACGGTACTGCATCTACATCCTGGGATCCCGACGATGCACGTTGGGATATGAATCCACTGGCGTCACCGTTGGTGAGTAGGAGTAGGAGGGATAGTATACATTCTTGCGAAGAAGATGGTATGGAGGATGGGGAGGGTGTGGAGGTGTACTACACTGAGCAGTCTGCATCCTCACGCGATGGCAAAATCGACAAAAACACCCCCGAAGACATCGAGATCCAAGACAACGACACCAAACCACCAAGCCCCACTCCAAGCTCAGTCTACAGCACCGACAATCCCCTCGCCCTCGTCCACAGCCCTCTCTACACACAAAGCGAAAGTGACATATCCGACCTACCAGGCGATAGCACCTTCTCCAACTTTCTAGATGAAGTCCTTTTTGATCTTGGCGCTTGGCTTGATGCTGGGGGTTTGGAGAAGGGCGGCCTGCACGACGATATGCCGGAGGAGGAGTATAGAGAGTATAGGGAATGGTATAGGGGGGTTGTTGGGGGAGTTGCGAGGGGGATGGTTGAGCGGGGGATGGTGGGAGGGATGGGCCTAGAAAGGAGGAGGAGTGTGTAAGGAGGGTGGGGATGAGAATGGTGATGATGATGGGATGGTGATGGGGATAGATGATGTGGAGGGGGGGAAAGGGTATGGTGATGTAGAGTGGTCTCACATGTTAGGTTTATCGCATGAATAGTCCTTTTGACTGATAAAAGTGAATATCCAATCGCCTACCATCATTGCTTCGACCATATGGAGTATCAAGACTTCTATACCCTGCAGACGGCCGACCTTGTAGATTACTGATCCTGCACAGCGGCCGTGGTGGCTGAGCTGAACCCGCTAAATACATGCAGGGGGTAGCCTTCAGAAAGCCTCCGACGGTACTAACCGCTGCCGTTGCATATCCTCCGCAATAAAGTCCCTGCGTAAATCTAAATAAACTTGGCAGTACACGGAACGGACTTGATGATGCTGTCATCCGGATCGGATGTCAGTTTGGACACCGACATCCGCCGGCGCCGCCCAATTGAAAAACGAGGATTGCAAAGCACCGAGTCTACGTACCTACTCAGGCTGCTTTTGATCTCTTTTGTGATCGTACGTGGCAGCTAGCTATGCAGTATCGTTGGTAAGCGACAGGGGTGGGTGGGAGAGGCGGAGGGGAGGCGGATGGGAGGCGGAGGGGTGGAGGTCGAAGTCTGTCCCAAAACCGTGGTAGGAGTCTGGGCACTGATTATTTTACTGCGTGCCCCTGCACGTAGTCATACACTTAACCGGGTTTGGCACATTTTATAGGTAAGATTGGAAGCGGTATAGAGCTGTACCATGCTTCAAGTTCCAACTTGACGGCCTTGTCTGCTTGTCGGTGAGATGGAATCGGCCCTCTAGTGATTGAATGCTTACGATCATGGCTTCATTGTATCCCGCGATGGAAGAATGAAGAGCATATATAAAGCACCGTACACCACCTCGAAGCTTCATCAACATCGGATCCTCATCAGTGTCTTGCAATTACAATACATCTTTACTTACACTCGACAAACACTTTCTCCCCAATCTTGAAATGGCACCCGAACAAGAGCCAAAAGGCTACCGATGGGACATCATCACAGCGGAAGAACTCAAATACGCTCCGCCGTACTTTCAAGATGTCCCAGAAACGACGACGGAGGTAGAGTGCAAGCTCAGCGGCACCTGGCCCAAATGGCTCCATGGCTCTTTCCTTCGGTACGTCACCCTCCACCCTTCACATCTGCCCTAAATCCCCAACTAACATCAACTTCACCACAGGGTTGGCGTAGGCCGTTTCACAGTCCCCACCTCCGAAGACGACTCCACGCCCCGAGTCATCATCCAGCACCTCTTCGACGGCCTGGCCCTCCTCCACAAATTTCGCATGACCGACGGTCGCGTGTATTACATGAGTCGCTACACTTCCAACGGGATAACGCGCGCCGCGCAGCGAGACGGCTACGTCAAGAACTCCTGGGTGGGGCCGAATCCCAACACGCCTCTTTTCGAAGCCCAGGATCCGTGTTCGAAATTACTTGGAGCGCGTGTAAGTCTGATCATCTTCTCCTCCAGTCATGGCTATCCACGAGAAGTGATGGGAAGGCTGACTGGTTTTCGGATGGATGTAGCAAATCGTTTTCCTGCCTCATGATTCCATCGAACCAGATGCTCTTAATGTTCATGTTCAGCCGAGACGTGGTATGCATCTACCGGAGGATAAGAACCCGAATTCGAGGGGTGTGAAGGCGGAGGATCCGGCTACGCAGGAGGTAAGACAAACCCCATCTCCATTTCATGCCAAAAGAACCTGGCGAAGCTCACGCTGAGATGTAGATCCTCGTTCATACGGACTGGAACTGCATGCAAATCTGCGATGCAAAGACGCTCGAGCCGAAGCGCTTACTCTCTCATGCGGTCATCGATCCCGAGCTCGCTGGAACAGGGTGCTGCGCTCATCCGGTTCATGATCGCAAGCGAGGAACGACGTACAACTACTTGATCGATGCAGCGGGTATTATGTATATTTTTGCGTTGGATGTGGTGGCAAATCCGGCGCGTCTGTTGTGGAAGTCGGCGCTGCCGTGTAAGCCGTGCTACACGCATGCTCTTGCTATGACGGACAAGTATGTTGTGTTCGTCAGGAACGTAAGTAGTAGTTCCAAATGGATGGAGGGGTGGTATATGGATCGAAACTAACATGCCATCAGCCTGTCATATTGGATCTCCGTGATCCGAGCAAGACCCTCGTCGAGGCGATGGTATGCGAGCACGACTCCCCCGTGTACTTTTACGTCCTAGACAAGGCCGACGGCAAGGTGTAAGTCCTCTCTCTCCCTTCGCCTCTAAGCACTCCTGAACTAACACTTCTTAGCATTGCATCCTACCAAGTCCCAAACTTCTACTTCTTCCACACAGCTAACGCCTACGACTACGTCGATCCCAAAACGGGGCACACAAACGTCCATGTCGACATCGCGAGCTACAAAGCCGAGCACTACCCGTACCACGAATACGCCATCTCGAACGTCATCAACCCGCTCAAACCCTACCAGACGGGCCGCCTCGTCCGCTACGAACTCTCCGCCGTCAACACGCGCGATCCCGCCGTCATCGTTCGCGGCACCGTCAAAGCCGCTATTCCAGACATGATGGCGGAGCTACCTCGTATATCCAAAGCCGCATCTATGGACCCAAACTACCGCTTCGTCTACGGCGTATCAGGAAACGGTATTTCTGCTCCAGGCACAGATGTTCCTATCGGGCGTCTCGGTAACGGCGTCGATATGCCACATGCGTCTTTCTACGGTCACCTCTTCAAGTCTGATTGGCGGACTGGCACGTTCAAAGCGTGGGTACCGCGGAATGGCGAGAGTTGTCCTACGGAGCCGATTTTCATCCAGAGGCCGGGTGCGACGGAGGAGGATGATGGGATTGTGATTACGATCACGATTAATAAGGAGGGGACGAATAGTATACTCGTGGGGCTTGATGGGAGGACGTTTGAGGAGGTGGCTAGGGCGGATATGCCACAGGTTTATGCGCTCGGGCCGCATGGGTCGTTTGTTGAAGGGGATTTTGGCGTTGTGAGTACCATGGGTCGTTAGTCGGGTTGCGATGGGATACGTTGTTCTGAAGAGTCGAAGCTGTGCGGATGCTACGGGATTTCATCAAAGCTGTGGCCTCGATCGGTACCTGAATCAAAGCAACACTATCGCACATGCCACTGTTATCTCGACGTTTGCGAAGACTGCCGCCGTCATCGCATCTGAAAATGCCATGGTACTGCTGTGGGCTGCGCATGCAAACGCCTCCATTCCTTTGACGTCCATCTCCAAATGAAATTCCACTCCTCAGATTAAAGTAACACAATCAGAATCTTATCTGTCACTTAGCCTCGTGTTGTGCAAGGATTTCTTTGTTCTCGTATCCGCCAGGGACCAAGCGAGCATTCATATCCGGGTAATTCGACAGTGTCATATAAGTCGAAAGCGTGTTTCGCTACTTCTGAACAGGTCAGGGAGACACACTGAACTTTTCTGACGACAAATCCTTCTCTTCTGGCAAGCCATGTTGCTACGCGCGATCTTCAGCCTCGCCGCATTCGGCACGTACGTAGTTGGGCTCCACACAGGCGACGTACTCCGGCGGCAAACAGACTGCGGCGAGCTCGGAAACTATCCTCCTTACACCGGGCCATGTGAAGTCGAAAGTAAGTGCATATATGAGTCTCCGGCTTTCCGACGTTGAAGGTGCGCGACGCGCTGACTGCAAGCTAGACTGCGGCGCAGGGCGACTCAACTGCTTGAAGCAAGTACCGCCATACACCAAATGCGCTGGTTATCCGACCGTGGGTGAGTATGCGTTTCTACGATGGTGTCCAAGTAGTTGACGAAGAAGTAGGTTGTCCTTTCATAGGATGCGCGTGTACAAGGTAGGAAGGCTGGGGATGACATCACCAAAAACGGGGTTAGGCTAGAAGTGGCTTAGTGCCAGGGTTCCTTCTTTCGTTCATCCTTCGCAGGGGCGCGTCTTCTCTCTCTGTCTTTCGCGCTCGACTCTGAGGGGTCTCTGCCAAAACACGGGACCTGACTCGCAAAAGCAGACCGCCATCTGAAAACTTGCTTCGTATCGATGGGCGAATATATTGCTTACACGATCTGAGAATGCGCGGCCAATCATTGAGCGAGCGCAAGCTGAACCCTCTTCCCCGCTGGTTGCCATTGTTCTCAGACTGCTGCCTGAATGAAACATAACAACATCACATAGTCTCGTCCTCTTTCTCAGTATTTCAGTTATTCGCGGGCCAGAAACAACATCCTCATACGGACAGTCTACCAACGAGCTAGCCTGTTCGCTTGCGCTATCGAGTCCACCATGGCAACGAAAACCCCGTTTGTCCGAACGTATAATACATCAGCCGATTATAACGACGGACTCCACGTGGTATGCGTCAGAGCATCGATTCATTCGTCACTGTCATTCTGACGATAGCCACAGTTCCTGGAAACTATCGACCCAGGTCTTGACTGGGAGCCAGCGCGCACCATAGGCTTACGTCTCTGGTACAAAGCCTACGTTGATCTAACACCCGAAACATGCTACGTACTAGATGACGGTCACGGAAGTGTGGTGGGTTATTGTATCGGTGCCGCTGATACGATGTCTTTCGCGCAGCGCTGGCGCGACGTGTTCACTCCGACTATCGATCCGAAACTTGTACCACATCCGGATGTTCAGACTGGTGATCCGCGGATGGAAAGAGAAGACGCTAGGCACTTTCGAAAGGCTGTGTATGAAGCGGACTGTAGTATGCTGCTGCCTTGGCCGCAGGTGTTGGAGCAATATTCGGCACATCTGCATATCGATATTCTGCCTGAGTATCAGCGGAAGGGGTGGGGTTCTATGCTAATACAGCATTTTCTGGGTGCAGTTAAAACTTTGGGTGCGAAGGGGGCCCATCTTGACATGGTGCAGTCAAATACGAGCGCAAGAGCTTTCTACGAGAAAGTGGGATTCCAGGTTTGTCCGCATGTACTAGATGATGGAGCGAGCGGCCAGCCTGGTGTCAACGGCATCGTGGTCACATTGGTCATCAGTCTGTGAGCACTCCAAGTATCGTCAACTTTGTTACTTATCCTATTGTTCTTTGCATCAGATTGAACTTCGTCGCATGAAAGATCTGTGGGCTGTTTTACAGCTGTATACAACGTGGCCGTCAAGTCACCGTCATATCGAACTACACATACCTGACGTAGTCTTTCTTGCGCCTGTTACTCGCACTAACCCTTCCAGCATGTTGAGAAATGTTAACGCAACACTTACGCAATGGTACTACTTAACATTTCCGGAAATCTTGCGGAGACAATAGTCATCTCTGACGAAGAGCTTCTCCCACGCTGGAAGTTGAGTCAGTATAATTCAGCGCAGCCATGCAGACAAAATGTGTTCAGATGCCAACGGATCTGCTGTTGTCAGCCACTGTGGCAGGCTTTTGCGATCCAGATATATAAACCCCTCCTCCATTCCTTACATCCGGAACCAAAAGGCAGACACCGACATCGCAAAGCTAAGAGACCGCCCGCAATGCCTCACGCAACCCAACATCCAGCTCTTGCGCTCGCCACCTCTCCCACGAAAACATCGGTTACGCCGAATGGTAAAGTTCGATCTGATAGCTATATGAGCGTTCACGAAAGGAAGGACCTGCAGCAAGCACATGCACTGAACCCACTCGACCCTTTTGAAGTTGACGGTACACCCGTGAACGAGTGTTCAACTGCAGCACCATCCGAATATGACCTCAAAGAGCTGAGATCAACCCTCACTGAAGCCAGGAAAACCATGTATGCTGCTATGAAGAGATACAGCGACCTACACTGGATCGGCGAGCTTATTTACGAGCTCCCAAGTTCACCTCAGGTCTATGCCGTCTCGGAAACACCAGTCGAGGAATTAGATCACCCATCACAGGAGACTCTAGCGAAAGCGCCACGTCCCCCTCCTCCGAAACCAGAGCCTCTCTCTCGCGATGACTTCATCACACTGCTGGAGGATGAAGGCCTAACCTGGCTTCTCGAGCACTTAGACACACTACCCGTTCTGGATGACTATGCAGTCGTAGCCACCGAGGACCCCAAAAATAAGCGCTGCAGAGTCGGTAAGCCCATCGGTAAGATTCTGAAGAAGGAACAAACTGACGATCTTAAGAGGAGGCTGTGCTGTTTACATGCGACCAAAGGTGGCTTTGAACAGCAAATGAAAGTTAACAAGGGGGAAAACCCATGGAAGTGTTGGCCACCAAATGCTGATGAGGACAAGGAAGTAGTTACGAAGTAAGACATGTATGAACTCCATTCTGTCGTGTTACAGATGACAATCACGTAGCTCAAAGAGTTCTTAGATTATCTTTACTATCATCAAGCAATCTCTAAGCCCCACACATGTCCTGTTATATGACGTACGTCGGCATCCATAGCTGTACATTTCATAGTCTCACTTTGAGCAGTATTCGTATCGTAAGATTTGCATTCTAGTCCCAAATTCTAGCACATACATGTGTACTTAGGTAAGACATAACACAGATACTTATTCCCAAAAGTTACAGTCTTCCTCCTCTTCCCTTGACGCCTGCTCCGACGAACGCATGGCTCTCCACATAAAAGCTTCACATGCAGCCTGCGTATCAGCAACCCCAGAAAGGCCCGACGTGAAAAGCGGTGAGTACCATTTCATCTCCGCAGCATCCCTTGGCGCACGAGGCCCATCCTCAAAGACATCGTTGTTCAATTCGGCAACTGGTTCGCCACGTGCGTCTGTAGCTTGGCTAGCGTTACCGTGATATGGGCTCGGGATTGTCGCGTGTCTAGGTCTAGAATCGGGGGTAGTCGAGGTCGCAGAGGCCAACGGAGACGCATTGTCGGGTGTTGTTTCGATGTTGGTATGTGATGTCGCGGAGGCCGATGAAGACGCATTGTCGGGTGTCGTTTCGGTGTTGGTACCGGACGTTTGGCTACCACTCGATGGTGAGTCGGGGCTTGGGTTACGTTCATTGCGTCTATTTGGTGGGCGATGGTATGGTCTTCTTCCTCGGCGCCTCCTTCGTCTGGGCATTTTGGGGTCGTATTATCTTAGTTGATTGGTTGTTGGCTTGATGGAACAGTTGCAGCTTTCCTAAAGATTGGCATGATAGTTAGGAGAGCGCGTCGCGTCGGTTATTATACGGCAACCCAAAATGTGTCTCAGACACGAATCTCACTAAGACAATTCGTACATACATCATTGAATCAGACAAGTGTCTCGTCCAAAACGACCGAATGCATACCGAGAAACAAACCAAAGCCTCCAGGGATAGACTGCATCCTAGTATGTCCGCTCTGCAGAAGCCCTACCACTCATCCCAAAAGCCTACCCATTGTATCCTCATTCATCAAGCCCTATCGCGCATCACCAACTCCCCTCCTCCGATGCGCATGCCTGACCACAACACTCACACCCCTCCTCCTCATCTCATTCGCTACAATCTCCGCTGCCGCAACGCTTCGATGTGTACCTGCGTGGCATGTAGTCTGTATCGATGCGATCTGGTTTCCAGCATTGAGATAGTTCGCTATAGCGGTGATGGCTTTGTTACTATAGTGTCTCAGATCAGCCAGCCGTCTGCTACCTAGGAACCTGAGTTGTTCCAAACAGTATGGTAATGGAAAATATAGAAGGGCGAAGGGTGAATAACTCACATTTCCCCCATCGCCGTCCGACTGCCCAGTATGAACTGTTGCACTTGCGGGCTTACGCCAGTGTATCTCTCACATATCTCGCGGGGTGGGGCACGCCATTTGTGGCAGTATATTGTGAGGATATTTGGGACGCCGGGGGGAGTGTGTTGGAGAAGTTGGGCTTCAGCCCCTGGATGGCGTTTGAGGACTTCGGTGGAGTAGGAGAGGATGTAGAGGGTTTTCTGGACTGGTAAGGCGGGAGGTGGTATAAAGGGCTGAGGATGCAGGAGAGCGGGTGGAGGTGGGAGGATCACTGGCTGCTGGAAATGCTGTTGTGGTGGTAATAGAGGGGGTAGCGGTGCAAGTAGTGGCATTGGTTGCAGTGGCATTGGTTGCAGTGGCATTGGTATTGGCATTTGCATCTGCGGGATTGCCTGCACGAAGGGCTGAAGAGGGAACATCTGCATGTGTGGATATATTGGAAACATAGCTGATGATGTCTTTACTGGAGAAACGTAGTATGGCACGCTGATCAAGAAGTCTACTTTGCGTATACAGCTATGCTGTGAAGACGTCGCAGTGCTGGTGAAGCGCGTCAGTGACCATCAATGACCTTCAATCAGAAGGGCTATGTCTGGTACATTGCGTATGTCCGTAGACTCATCAGTGTGAATGGTACAACCAGCAACTTGCGGTTGTGCATGATGAATGTGCAAGTTCTCAACACGCACTGTCGGACTCTCTGTCTCCGCTTTGCGGACAAAGAATGTCCGCATGTCAGCATGTCAGCATGTAAGCATTACAGTTTCGGTGTACTCTTCCCGTGTACCAAATCAGAGCACTAGCACAATCGTCACACCGGATCTTCAGAAGACCAGCTGACCGCTACCCCTTCCATACGTCACCTTCTCAAACAGCTACGCCACATCAACCCCAACGCTATCCACATCATGACCTCAGAGTTGAGTCTGTAACCCAGGATCGCGATAGTCGCCGTCTCGTCACGACGTCCAAGTATCAGCTTCCCCATGCAGTAAGTTCTGCATACAGATAGGGCTGCATAGTACCACACGTGGCGCCAAAAAGTCCCGACCGACTCCACGCCAACCTTCCAGCCTGCTTCTACACCCATCCTTCGAAGCAGGTAACCGACCTTCCTTGATCCTCCGCATGATCCTCCGCTTGCAAGCTTCCAGCGGCACAGTACTCCGGAGTATCAAACGAACCTATCGCTTCAGTATGCAAGGAGTCGCTCAAAACTTGGCAACGTCCATGAAGGCGGGTCAAGAACCTTGGAAAGAAGCCTAGCTACCGTGCCGCAAAGATCCTATCTGCGCGCCCCACCCGTGCATCATCAGCATTGAACAACTGGGCATCATCTGGGCGGCTATCACGCCAATGAAACACGTCAAACGGCATCCGTGGGAATAATGGAAGGAAGAATAGGGTGATGGGTAAGCGAATTGTGGGAGGCTGGTGTGGTTGCGCTGCGGCTGAGATTACCGCTTTGGGATTGCGGCGTAGTCGATGTGATACCGAGTTGCTGGGTCACCTTTGGAACCTTCCTAGGAAGGATCGTGAATCTCGTATCGAACGTCAATGAATCCTTCCTCGGTGGCTACCGAAATGAAAAAGTGAAATTGCATGATTCTAGAAGCGAGGGAAATCGTTCGATCATCGTTCTGGGAGCGGAGAGGGCGGCTATGATGAAGTTACGACATGGACCATGGTGTTGTGCGTGCGCAAATCTGGATTGGGCGTCTCGGATCGAAGCGAGCAACGCCAATCATGACATATGCGCTTTTCTGGTTTCCTTGCATTTGTTCCTTGCCTTGCCCTATCTAGATTATGTGAGTTCAACGAAACATGTTACAACCACAGACTCGGTACCTATGCATCTTCTGTCGCACAAATTACTCCTTCTGAGTTGATTCATCAACCCAAGACTGAGGTTGTTACATGATTCACAACTTTCCTTCACCTCCTCCCTGGAGCACATCGCGTACGAGCTTGAGGCCTTGCACGGCAAAGGCCACCATGTTGGCTTCGCGCTCGCTGCTCCCTGTCTCCGCTTCTCGAGTCACTGTCTCCCCGCCCTCCCGTGCCACGGCAAGCGCTACGTAGCCTGGTGTGCGGTTACGAGTCGTCCCCCCCGTCGGCCCTGCGGTTCCGCTCTCGCTGATGGTATACGTGCTTCCCAGTGTCTTACGCGTGTGCTCGGCGAGGCCAGAGACGATGGCAGGGGTTGGGCCGCTGTAGGATTTGATGGTTTCCTGTGTCCAGCCGCAGTATGCGATTCGTGACTCGAGTGTGTACAGGGTAAGACCGCCGCGATAGTAGGTCGATGCGCCGGGGAAGGAGAGGAGTGCTGCAGAGATGAGACCGCCTGCTGCCTGGTTGGAGTGGTTAGTAGGTGGCTTTGAGTTGGACTGGGGGGTCTTACTGTCTCTGCTACCGAGATGGTCTCTTTGCGCTCTTTGAGGAGTGTGGCTACCTCTTGGACGATTTGCTGGAGCTCTTCAGGCGGGAATATGGGTGGTGACATTTTGAGGTATGTTGGATTGGGTAGTTACGCTTCTTCTCAAACTTGAAATTTAAGCTTCAATTGTATACAAACGTTCTTGTGTTAATAATTGTATCGGAGTTATGACGGACGTAGTCGCTTTCGGTGGGGTATTTCGAGGTTGTGACGTATGCGGGGTAGCTTCCAAGGTTCCATTACACCTCCAACCGTATAGATAGTATACCGAAATATTGTACATACAAAGCCAGACACAATTTACTTTAGACATCGAAAGCGAACCTCTCTTCTCCCCTCTTCATCAATCTGATTGGTATCGAGACGCCCCTCAACTGCAGCGTGATGATACTCGCCATCTTGGTCTGGATCAGGTCCTGGGCTCTATCCGTAGCCATCTTGTATAGATCTCTTCTCTCCTTGCCTCCCTTTGGCATCTTCTCCACCTCTTCATCACAAGCAAAGTCATCGACTGCGAGTTCAACGCTGTACTGAGAGAAGATCGCGGCCAATACCGCGAGAATCTCCACTTGAGCAAAGCGTCGACCAATGCATGATCGGAAGCCGTCGCTAAAGGGGATGTATGAGCCTTTGACGGGCTTAAAGAGGTCAGATGAAGTGTCTTCGCCTGCTGGTCCACGTAGCCCTTCATCGTCATAGTTGATGTCAACGAAATCGTTATCGGGCTTGCTATCCGCGAGCCAGCGTTCAGGTCTGAATTGGTCTAGGTCGTCCTTGCTTGAGTCATCAGATGGTGTTGGCCAATACTTTGGGTTGCGATGTATGGCTGCGCTGAGGAATACATGAGCGTCGCCAGGCACCATATACTGCTTTCCCCCGATATTCAATGGTTGTGGTCGACCTGGTGGAGTAGACTTCGGGATGTTGATGATTGGTTGCAGCAGCCGTAAAGTTTCGTTCATGACTGCCGCTGGCATGCTTCCGAATAGCTTTTGGAAGTGCTCTTCATACTTCCATTCGTCGATGGGCTTACCCGCAAATATGTTGTCGATGTCGTCTTGCAGCCGCTTCTGCGAGCCCCAGTTCATGGCGAGGAACACCATGGAGAAATGTAGTGTGTTGGCAGTTGTTTCGTGGCCCGCCAA